AGCACTACCCATAGATCTGCAAATTGGAACTGAGAGTATTCTCAGACAACCTGAGCCCATTTGCCAGTGAGTGGCAGACTGGAACTGCAGGCAGTGTCCAGCCCTTTCCTGCTTTTCAATGACTGATGAGGGCTGGGGTAGAAGTACCACAACACCCTTGTCCCTTGGGTTGGAAAAATACACTGATCCCAGAGTTCCTCAGAGAAAGGTTAAGAGCTAGTCACCCACAGTGTTAACGAGTTGCACACTTTACTTCTGTCTTTCCTTCCCTGTCTCACTGGGATCTCCTCCCACTTAAACTGCTTGCAAAGGAATCCCCATCTAAAGGGGAACCCAAATCAAAACTGATGGAGTGTGGCAGGCTCCTGGTGTGGAGCACCATGTGGAACAGAGAAGCAGGAGCCCAGGAGAAAAGCAGGGAGGTGTGAGCCGCAGAGCAAGCCACACAGGTGGGAAAAAGCCAGTACCACCTTCTCTCTCAGGAAGACCACCACGTGCAGCAAAGTGAGAGTGCCCTAGGACGTCTTAGTTCACTTAAAAATCAAAGTGGGCCTGGTGTGTACTCACAGTGGCTCTGGATGCTGAGGCAGGAGGATCTCAAGTTCAAGGCCAAACTCAGCAACTTAGTGGGGCCCTAAGCAACTTAGCAAGACCCTGTCTCAAAATAAAAAATAAAAGAGGACTGGGGATGTGGCTCAGTGGTTAAGCCTCCCCCTGACTCCATTCGATCTCTGGTACAAAAAAGAGAAAATATCAAAGTGGTTATCGTGGAAATATCCCAACTTTGCTGGACTCTCTAGCACTTATTTTGGGATTTGTTGTCATTGTTACTACTAAGAGGCACTCAGTCCATATTCATTGAGTGAACTGCTAGCAGACAGGAATTTGAATATTCTAAGCACAAAGAAATGATAAATGGACACAGTGGTGCACACCCATAATCCCAGGGACTTAGGAAGCTGAGGCAGAAGGATCATGAGTTCAAAGCCAACCTCAACAACTTAGCAAGGCTCTAAGCAACTCAGCAAGACCTTATTTCTAAATAAAATATAAAAAAAGGGCTAGGGATGTGGTATGCCAATTACCCTGATCTGATCATCACATATTGTATCCACGTAATAAAATGTCACTGTCTCCATAAATATGTGTAATTAATGAGTCAATTAAAAATAAAGATAGATATATATTAAAATATTTATCAAATGAATGAGTAAATAACTGACTCTTGGGCCCCTTACTGGATGGTAGTGTCATTCACTGAGAAAATGAAGGAGGGAAAGGAATAAGTCCAGAAAGAGAAGAAGGTAAACAATTTCCTTGGACCAACAATGGGGCAGTCTGCCTCCTCCTGGAACTCATGGCTCTGAGCAGACTTTTGCAGGGGGACAAATCTATTTAGCATCACTGTGGTGCATGCACCTGTCATTCAGAAGGAATTTAGCCCTGCTATCAGGGCTGAGTCTTGGAACTCTACTGGGCCACATGAAAAGAATTTAGATGGTGGATTATGGAGGGTGAGCAGAGGGGCAGGCCAGCTGGGGTGGGACTTGGGACAGTGGATATTCACCACCAGCAGGTACCATTGAGGACATGTTGAGTTACAACCCTTGGCTTGGAGATGGACAGAAAACTGGGCAGACTGGAAGAAACCATCTAACAAGGCTGGAGAAGGAACCACTCAGCGCCTCCTGGGGGACACCTGGATAGGCCAAGGTGGTGATGCTGAGGAGATGTTTACTGAGAACCAAAACCTTATCCCAATGCTTCTAGGAAGTCAGCTCAAAGGAAAAGCAGCTTCCATGACTGTCCCTATTTTACAGATGAAGACACTGAGCTGCAGGGAAGGATTGAGAGTAAGGGATTGTTTTCGGTTACTTGGAGATTTTTAGTAACTTGCCTAGGATTATGTGGCTAACAGGTGGCAGAGCCAAAATTCCAACCCAGATGAAGACCTCTCTACCCTCCACAACCATGTGAGTTTTAGTACAAGGAAAAGGGGGAAAGTGGCTACTGAAGAGCTTTGAGGAGATTGTGTGTCCTGTGTTTTGGGGACCCAGGAGCACAAGAGGTATCCAGAAAGGCCCTTCTCCTGATGTTAGGTTGGGCAAGGACTGTGCATGTATGCCTGTCCCTACTGTAGGGGTTCTGAGGAGTTGGGAGCAGAGGAAAAGGGTGAATATACAAGAGATTTGAAATGGACTGTGGCATTATAATGGGTGTGACAGTTTTAAAAAGTGGGGACATCACTTACCTTTGTAACTCCAGATGAAAGCATGGATGCCTTACCAGTCTAAGTGCTCTAAAGTCTAAGGGGTGAGGCATGACCTCACCCCTGTCTATCATTCTATCAGGACTTCCCTCATATTCAATCCTTCCATGTTGCTGGGTGTGTTAGAAATCTGTGTTTTTTTTTTTTTTTTTAAATATTCTCAACTTTCTGTGCTCTGTTTTCTGGTCACTGAAACCTCCATGCATTTTGGGCAGAGATGTTATTTCTTTTCTGTAGTGCAGCTGCCAATCAGTCCTGGGCACACAGCACACATGGGACCAATAGGGGTCCTTTCCAGGAATTGATGCAATCCCAGAGGGGAGGGGAAGCCTTCCCTTTCCTCTGTGGCCACTCTGGGGTGGTGGGGTAAGATATGCGGGGAACAGCTTGCAATCACCCCTGACACCCCTGAAGGAATCTTGTCCTCTGTTGGATGGAAGGAACCAGATACTGACAAAAGCAGAAGCAAACAAGGCAGAGAGACAGGCAGGTAGGCAGACACACACCCAGATAGACAAAATGACCACACTGCTTGAGTCTCTGCATCCCCCACCCTGAAGATAATACATTCTCTTCCTTCTCCTGCTCCTTCTTCTCCTCTTCCTTTTTTTGATTTGTTAATTTGAGGGTATTTCCTTCATTGGTTAAAACAAACCATCTTGTCTAAGACTCAGCTATACTGGGTTGCTGACAGTTCCCAGAATTTTTTTTACATACATCCCTTCAAGAGTCGTGACACAATGCAAGCCACATAAGGTCTAGAGAATACGGGAAATTCAAGGCAGGCTCCTGTGGTCTATTTTTCTTGTTTTCCTAGTTCTGCTTTAGGCTGTACCATGTGGCTAAATCCAGGTTGGCAGGGGAATTCTCTTGGACCTTCTCCTTCATAAACTCTGTCCCCACCACCCATAGCTTCCAGGTCCCCTTGCCCCATCCAGGATTGCCTCCTCGTGGGCTCTGGTTCCTGATTATGAGTTGGTAGTCACTTTTGTCCTGGTTCTGTCACTGGACAGGAGACTTTGGAAGCTTGAGGTTGCAGCCTTCAGACCTTGGGGTTCTGCAATACGGACTCAGAGCAAGTCCAAGAGACATCCAGCCTGCGCACGTTAAATACTGTGTTAAATCTTCACTGCCGCCCGGGAGTGCTCCTCAGCTTCCCAACTGTAGGCAAAGGGGTAGAGGGAAGGCGAAGGCACCCTTCGCCATGGTATTTTAGTCAGGTGACAAGATTCAGATGTGAAAAAGTCAAACAGAAAAAAAAGTGCCTGGAAAAGATGTTTTTATATTTACTTACATGGAAAAAAAAATCTTTGGAAGTTTGGAAGCTTGAGAAAAGGGAGGCAGATTCTGGGGAGTGGGGGTGTCACAGATGCAGTGCAGCGGGAAGAAACAGGCTAGACCCGGTGATCAAGACCTTGCAGAGATGGGGCAGGGTGTGAACTACACAGCAGAGGAGCCTGTGTGGCTTACCTCAGTGACCACAAAGATACCAGGCCTATGGCCTTTGGCATGTGACAGGAGAGCTCAGGTTCAGGAAAATGTTTGAATAGCAAGGCCCTGGGTCAACCACAGGGTTCTGAGTCTGTGCAGGGCTGAGGTTGACCTAGGGCCTCCCTCTGGGTGTGTGAGGGGGTTTGGAAGAAGGCTGAGAGGCAAGTTCATGAGCCTCAATGCCCTTTATGGGGGTCTCCTCTCTCCCTGGTTCCACCCCCAAATCCCATAATACCTGCCTTTCCAGTAGCCCTGGGCCATGTTGGCTGTCACTAAAATGGATGGCTGCTGTACTTCATGACCTGCTAAGCCTCTGGTCCTCTGTCCCCATGGGGTTTTTATTCAAAACCATCCACTGAATGACCCCCTCTCATGGGTAAGCTGATCCTCAACCATCTATCCCAGGTTCCAACTCTAGCCGTCTTCATTCCATGACACATCAGGGAGAATCTCACTGTGCCTCCATTTGTAAAACCCTAAATTGAGATTCTGGGCTGCCCCCGCTTTTTTTTTTTGTCTTGTCTCAATTTCCTTTCTATTTCAAGGATTATGAGGGAGAATTCACTTTGCCAAGTTTCTGGGCCAGTCCAGATGAATAGGAGGAAGTATCTCAGCATGCCTCTTGTCTGGTGACGACGTTTCTCCTAGGAGTCAAATCAGAGCCAGCGTCACACACTTGGAGCTGGGAGGAGGCAAACAGGCAACCCTGCACTGCGGTTCCTTGGGAAGCTCTTGGGTACTGGAGTGAGACAGACGCTGGGTCTGAAACCAGCCCCACCACACACCAGGTATGGGACCTGCACCAAGTAAGTTCTGGAGCTTCAGCAATTTTTTTTTTTCACTTGTACAGATCAACATACTTCCTCTGCAGAGTTATTAATTAAAGCAAAACAGGACCTCTCATAAGTCTGATATGTAGTAACTGGAGCCAATATTGTGCCTGCCTCATCCCAATCTCCTTGTGACAGAGGCCACCATGTCCACAGTCACACACTGGGACTGGGGCAGAATCACAGCCCATCCTGTTTCCCACTCTGGGGCTCTTCCGCCTCCAGCCCCACAAGTGGGAGACAACAGGCAGGGGCAGATGAGCATGATGGGAAGATCTTCAGTTCTCTGATCACCGCCTGAGGGCTAGCACAAGTGGCAGTGACAGGATTAGCAAATCCACTCCAGTTCACTTCTGCATCAGTGTTGAAGAATAAAGGAACTAGGGAGAAAAAGCCAAACAGAACAAAAGTGCCTGGAAAAGATGTTTTTATGTTCACTTACATGGAAAAAAAAAGTCAAAGAATACAGCACGAAGATGTACGTTTCTCAGAAAATTCATCTCTGTGAACCTGTTTGTTTCAGTTGCAGTTATAATTCAAGAACTACCAAACGGAAGTCGTAAAACCAGTGGTGGGGGACGGGGAGGAAGGACACCAAGGGAAAGGTAGTAATTATGTGCTATTTCTTTTCTAGTTTCAGATAATTTAGAGCTTCAACTTTTCCAGCAAGTCAGAGTTATATAAACAGATGCCATACTAAAATGTGATTGGGTAAAAATATAAAATTCCTACAGCACGATGGCAATAATATTATAGGGAAAAATCCATTAAAATTTGATACTATAAGAAAATACAACAGGAGCATTTGAGCCAGTTCTGTTTCTTTGTATGAACAGCAGTTGCAAATGATGGATGTAAATGAAATAATAAAGCATTCGGTTTGCATATAACTTAGAAAGGGGTAACATTTCTAAACACTACTAACTTTGTAGGAAAACATGAAGGACATCTTACACTCAACAACCATGGTTAAAAGAGGACATGATTTCCTGAAGGTTGCAGTGGGCAAATGCCCCAGCCTCTGGCTTTCACCCTGCTCTTAACCTTTGTTGGGATTGTATTTACACTGCATGGAGGTCACTGCAGAATCTAGCACCAATATATGGATCAGATTTTTGTCTTTGATCAGAGTCCTTTCTGTCTTCCATTTTGAGTGTATTGAGGTACGTTTTCTTTGGTTGCTGTTGTGAACGAATGTGTAATTTAAAAAAAAAAAAAACTTGTAATATTTACAGCATTTAAACATTTCTGATTTCAGTGTCAACTCTTCACATAAGAAAAACTGGAAAACTCATTTTAAGAATCACTGTAAAGGTCACTACTTCCTAGCGTCTGTCATGAAACTGTTTTCGATACACAGAACGATGAGCCTATTAGCACAGCTATATGCTTGCTGGTCCAGAATCTTCCCAGTGCTCAGTGGGGAGGCGAATCCTGTGACTGCCATGTCCGCAGTTCGCCATGCTTCACAGTATTTATCCACAAGACGGACGCCATGGGTGTTGGAGCCGTGCCAAACGACCTTCTGGGGCCTAAAATGTAATTTTGTCATGTTACTTTTTCACTGACACATCTTCGTAAGCAAGTTAGTATACGTCTAGTGAATGGCCTCAAAGTCCTTAGCCCTCCGTGGTCTATGCCAGGTCACCTCTCCATCTCCTCATGATGCTTTCTTACCTTCTGAACACACTCTAATCCAGTTGTACCCAGCTTTTGTGAAATGAATCTGAACCACTGCTCACGAGGTCCCTTTGTCTAGAGTGGCCTTGCTTTCATTTTTAGACCAGTGACTCCTTCTCATCTTTCAAAGCCCAGTGTTGCCTCCTCTTGCAGGAGGCCTTCCCGGATTCTTAATCCTAAGAGAAAATGCTTCCTCTATGTTCTTATCATCATATCTGTCTTTCCAGTTTATAGTCACAATAATCCCTCTACAAGCATAGTGTAGTCTTCAGACTGTCTTCCCTTGCAGACTGGGAGCCCTGGAACAGGGGCCATGTATGTTTATTACTGTGCCTTCCAGGCCCGGCAGGCCCTGATATAGAGGAGACACTGAGGAGAGCCTGGCTGAGTTGCTCTAATCTGAAAAGCACACATAGTTGGCACAGACTGACTGTAATTCACAGTAAAAAATTATAAGATCACCAAGAATGACATCACTTATTCACGTTCTAAGTGCTCACTGCACGATGTGTTTGCACACACATTCATTTTATCTGCACAACAGTCCTATGGTATAGATATGGCTATCTTGTCCATCTGACAGGCTCAGCGAGCAGCAGCACTATGCCCATGGTCTCAGATTGAGGTACTGGACCCAGGTCTTCTGGCTCCAAGGACAGGGCCTTCTCCACAACCCTCAGCTGTCTCACTGTGGCTTGACCTTGGCAATAACCCAGGGGGACAGTTGATAAAGGCATCCTACCATTAGAATGCTGCCTAACATGTCTGTGGCACCACATAACAGGGCCCATCCCCGCTTACCAAGAAGGATCAGTCATCACGTCCCGACCGTCAAAGGAGTATATTGGAACATGTGCATTGAACTGACCTCCTTGGCCAGAAAAAATTGAGTCCCAGTTATTAAAAAGTACTTGGCCCTGTGAAGAAAAACGGCACATTAGAAGCATGAAACATACCATTGACTTGCAAATGGACTAGTTTTCACTCATTCTTCAAAGTCCACATACCACTTCACACTGAGGTCCTTACCCCAATAACAGAATCTAGATGGAGTAGGAACTCAAAAATGTATGCAGTTTGATTTTTACAATTCGTCCTTGGACCCTTCTGGGTCTATTGTCCTATTTCATGAGGCAATTTCTCTTATTATATGCGTGTGAAAATCTCTTCCTCAACAAAAGTCTGGCTTACGGATTTATTTTACTGTTATTTTAAAATTTGTATGCATATGTACTGAGCTTTGAATTTGGGCCAGGCTTTCGGGGGAGACATCTGGGGGCTTCCACTGAAGGTGATGTGGAGAGGAATCTCAGTCCTCTTCCTGAATGAAAGAGCCTGGACTAGTGGACTGACTGAAGAATGCCGGTCACCCCAGCGGGGAAGGTGGTGGAAGAGGACCTGGGTCAGCAGACATGGAAGTTCCACATGGGAGCTCCCAGCCTCCAGGCTCCACAATGGAAAACTGGGGCTACATGGACCAAAGTGTCTTGAAGAACTCTGGAGAGCTAGTTAGTCATCAGGATGTGTGTGAGCAGCAACAGAGCTGTCCCTCTGCAGCCTCAGAGGAGTCAGCTATCTCCATGGAATAATTCAGGGATCCTATGAGGTCCTTCTTGCCAGCAAATGGGGTGGTGAAAGGTCTGCCAGGGTTTGACAGCCTAGGTGCTCACACAGCACCAAACCAGGGCTTAGGACAAAGTGCCTTTGCCTTGGAACCAGTGTCCCCATCTGTGCTCTGGAGGTACTCATCAGATGCCCTAAGAAGCATCCTTGGTTGGAACCAAGAGCCCCAAGCACAGGAGTCGAGGAGGCTGACTGTAGTTCCTAGTGACTTCCAACAAACTACTTTCTTCCTCTGAGCCTCAGTTTTCTCATCTGACAAACTGGGAAAGAGCAATGCCCATTTCCATTATTATTCAGATAATAGATACAAAGTACTTTATAAACCAACCAACAAAAAACTATTTAAATGAGGAGGTTCTTCTTCTTCCTGTCTGCCCTAAGAGCCACAGACCATTCAAGCAGGAAGGAACACTGTAAATATGAGTTAAACGGAGGTCCAGAGAGGGGATTGTCCACAGACAATTGGTAAAAGAAATGGGCTTTGAACCATGATTGATGTCATGGGATGGCAACTGCCTTGGTCCCTCTGGAGACCGCTGGATCCATAGGCAGCAGGACAGTGCTGATTTTTACCTTGAGGTTCACTATGGGAAGGCTGTATCTCTCTGCTTTCCTTACAACCGTGGAGAGATCTTGCAAGTGGGAAGATAAGAACGCTCGGAAGGTGGACAACAGTCCTGCAGCTCTGGCCTGCTGGAAGCACTGAAAATCAGCCCGAATGTCCCCAGAAAATGGCATGTTCAGAGCAACCAAATGCAGCTGGAAAAAAAAAAGAGAGAGAGAGAGAGAGAGGACAGGCAGTTAGAGTTGCAGGCAAACTCCAAGTCCATGGCCAGCTCAGGTCCTGAAGACCACAGCCTTCTTCAGATGGGAAGTAAGTCCCAGGTCAAAGGTCGTCCCAGTCTCTCTCTGCCCGACAGAGCAATCACAATCAGCTGGACAGTCAAGGAGGCTGACTGTAGTTCCTAGGGAAGGAGAGCCAGGGCCTCCAGAGCAGTCTGTTTCCACCCTCTGAACAGCCGTCTGGGCTGGAAATGTTTTCCTTAAATGAGAAAAGAAACCCAAAAGTCGCTCAAACCAATTAAAGCACTCCTGAGATCTGCATCCAACCTGTGGACCACATGTTTGAGAGCTCTGTGTTCACCCCAGCTCAGTCTTCAACAGGGACTCTAACGTGGCCTTGGTCCTGGACCCTAGAGCTTCCTGCTACCTGCCCATCCTTCCTTCTCCTGGGTAGGCCTGGAGTGGACCACATGAAGGCCAGGGGAAAGGCACTGAGAAGGGAAGGACGTGACTTTATACTAAGACTGATTAGCTTGGATGGAACCTTCTGGAAAGTAGGGGTCATAGAGCAATTCCAGCCTTACATCCTTGCCACCTTGTTCAACAGCCAAAAATAAAGCCCCTCTGTAGCCTCCCACACTTCCTCTGCCCAAACTCAGCATCCTCAGCTGCCCTCTCTCCCAGCCCTTTCTGCCAAACCCTCGGGAATACATTCCATGATCAAGGAACATTCGTCCCCCGCTAGCTCTTCAGTCTCGTATCGGGACTCACTTTCATTTCAGCACCGTAGAGCTGGGAAGGGCTGGTGTAGAACTGGGGCTCAAATCATCAAAGAAGGGGAATGCTTTTCAATATCATAAGTCAAGGGACATAAAACAGGCCCCGTGAGGGGGCAGGAGGGGGCTGGTGTTTCTCTCCCCGTCTCTGTGCTACCTTTCAGTTCTGAACAAAGCTTCTGCATGTCCCAGCAACCCGTGTCACCAGCTGGCCTTCTAGTGCTTTTCAAGTTGCCAGCTGGCCCTGAGCTACAGCACCCAGACGGCCCACACGATCCTTGCCCTTCTCTGGACATTTCCCTCCGATTGCCACCGCTCTCCCCTGCCACCTCCCCACTCTGCCTCTGGGTACTCCTCCCTGCTCTGCCTTCACCACCATGCTAGATGGGGGTCCACTCCCACTGGGCCCCAGTGGTAAAGGAGGATTCCCAGCCAGCCTCCCAAAAGGAGCATTTAATGTGTACACACCCAACCATTAGGATGGGGAAGGGGCTTCAACAAGGTGCCCATCATGATCACTTCTGGGTCACCAGACTTCAAATCTCATCCCACACACAGCTTGGTGCTCAGATGCCCTCACCATCTGGGACTGTCTTTCTTATTCTCTGGCACCCAAGGCGAGGGCACTGTGGTCTCATCACGTTACTGTTGGTAAATGAAGTGTTCCCCTCAAAGCTCCTGTGTTCATGCAGGAGTGGTCAGAGGTGAAGCGCCTGGATTATGAGAGCTGTGACCAAATCAATCCATCCTAGTTTAAGTGGGTTGACGGGGTGGCAACTGTAGGCAGGTAGAGCGCGATTGGAAGAGGCTGGGCTCTGAGGATGTGCCCAGAAGGGTGCATCTTCCCTGTGAGCTCTCTCTCTCTCTCTCTCTCTCTCTCCCCTCCCCCCTCCCCCCTCTCTCTCTCCAGACCCCACCAGGAGCTGAACGATTTTCCTCTGCTGGGCCCTTCCCTATGACATGCTGCCTCCCTGGGGCCCAGAGTCACGGAGTCTATGGACTGAGACCTCTGAAACTGTGAGACCCAAATAAGCTTTTCCTCCTCTAAGTTGTTCTTGTTGGGTATTTTGGTCACAGTGACAAAAACAGCTGTCTACAACACGTCACCTTCTCCCCAGAGGGCTTCTGGCGCTACATCAAAGGGCAGTCCCAAGAGGCTTTGATGGAGGAAGTCTTCCCTCTTACCAAGGGCCACCTAAGAAAGGTGCAGGACAGGTGCAGGGCTTCTCTGTCCACCTCTAAACCCTCCTTCTCCTCTGTCTTTAAGGAGACACACCAAAAGAGGTCTGGCGTTATGGTCATTTGTGAATGGTGGGGCTGGGGGCTTGTGCCCACCTGTATGTGTTTATCTAACTGCTGGAACATTTTTGTAATGTATCGTTTTCACCTTTGTGTACACAACCAAGTTACAACAATCAAAAATGTTATGACTATTTTGTGGGTAGGTGTAGTTTTGGCAAAATTATAGGTAATTTACTATTTTGTTCATCCTTTCTAGAAATCGTCAACATTTACAACAATAAATATGCATAACTTTTGAAGTTTCAAAATACTATCTCAAAAATCCATTAATCACTGCCCTCACTTTTTGGAGGCTCTCTGAAGGGTAACATGTGCTCCCTTCTCTCTTCCTTCACCTCTCAGAGGATCTTGTTGGTTATGGAAATGCTTTGCTTTTCTAAATTTGAAGGACACCTTCTAGTTCTTTCTATGTGCCTCCTGCATCCTCTGATTCTGATGGCTACTCCCTGGCTAGGCCTCCTTTCTCTCTGGCCATGGCTTTTCAGTTTCCTTTTCATATTTCTTCATTTGATTTCTTTTTGGTCTTGGTCTATATAGCCCAAGTCCTTTTCATCGTCTGGCTTCTCTTTCAGGAGCCCTACATCCCATAATGGTTGCCAAAGTTCTACTGAGGACCAGATCCCACTGCAGATTTCAGACCTTCATATCCCACTCCCTCTTGGTCATCTCTACTTGGGGTGTCCTGTCAGCACCTCACCGTATTTCTTCAAGTGCATTCCTCCCTGGTGATAGTGGCCCTGCAGGAAGCAGTTTTCTGGTGTCCTTCAAGTCCCTGCCTGGTCTTTGACACTGCCCCACTAAAAGCAGTGGTGTGGGGCCTTTGACCTCATTTTCCTGGCCACTTTTGATTGGACTGAGAATGGTAGGTTGACCCAAGAGAGACCCCAGAGACTATCTCTCCCAAGACTCTGAATGGAGTCATGTGGTGTTGGACATTGCAACCAGAAGATCAAAAGACTTGGAGCAACGACAAATGTCGCAGCAACCCAGAGCTGCATGCAAGCTCATGCAACTTTTGTCTATGTATTGGAGAGGGCTGGAGGGGAGGTGGGGAAGGACTCTTGCAGAAGAGGTCAGTGGAGAAAGTAAAGCAGATTGAACAGCAGGAACAAGAGTCCCCAAGTCTGGTTATACTTCCTGCAAGAGAGTTCCATGACTCTCCTATAGGATGAACCACGTCAGATACCCATGTTCTTATAAGGCAGAGAGTACCAAAAATTAAATAAGTGTTTATGACAATCATTGAATAAATGAAAGTGGATGCCAATTTAATTTAAATTAGCCAAGGAATAGAAGGAGGGTTTCTCATCCTAGCAGTGCCAGTGTTCCCTGGGAAGGGACCTAGGAGCACCTGATTATCCATGCAGAAACCTGGGCCTCATTCCTGATCTCTCCCATCCTCACTGCACCACGTCCAATTGGAGACCACACTAGTCACTCCTGCCTCCTTCATGTTTCTCTGGCCTGCCCACTCTCCCACATGTTCACTGTCGTGACACCCATTCAGAAAATACGGGAGCCACATAAATGGTCTTTGAATGCCAGTTTCTACCCTCTCTGGTCCATTTGCATAATGTAACCAGGGTAATTTCTGAAATGCCAATCTTATCATTCCCCTTTTCTGCTTTAAATCCATCACTAGTTCCCCACTGCTACAGAAAAAAAGTCAAAGTCCTTATCTTGGCTTGCAGGCCTTTGATGACTAGCTCTCAGCCGACCGCAGACTAACTTCTCCCTTTTCTGCTTTGAACTCTTATTATTCCTTTGGCCAGACCAAAATACTTGCAATTATAGGAATGCATAGCACTTTCCCTGACTCCCTCTGTTGCATCTTTCCTGGAATTCCCACTCTTTCCCCCACTAGACTCACTCCTGAACTCTAGGTGGATATGTTTGACCTTCCTTGTAACTCCAGCATCTTGTATTTGCCTCATCCAAACAAATACCTACACTGTATTGTAATTGTGTCTATTTTATTGGCCTCTCTTGCTGGTCTAGAAGCTTCTTGATTAGTAAAAATTATGTACTAAGCCCAGGCCTAGCACAATGTAGACAATCAGTATTTGAACTGTACTTACAGCAGGATTCTCATAATTGGCACTTAAAATAGGGTTCAGTGGAGGCTGGAGCTGATATGGCTGTTACATAAAAGAGGAAAACAAACAGTTCAGAATATGCATTCAATCTGTTCTTCAGAGTACAGTGAGGTGCAAGTTCAACGTTTCTTGGGAAGATACTTTAAAGAGCCTGACTTTGTCTTTAACTGGCTCTTAACTGAGAGTATCATGGTCAAATAAAAACAGTCATCTTCAGAAAAGTAGAGGATGCCCTCAAGACTTTTTAAAAGAGCACTGAGCCGAGGAAGCAGAGGACCCATGCTTAACAGCCAATAGGTTCACTTAGTAGAGCAAGTCACATCTTCAAAGCCTCATCATCTGCAAAGTGAAGATGGCAGTAGTTGCCTCATGGGAATGCAACAGGGCTTCAAAATGAATCATGTCAGTTACTCATGTTATTGTAAGGCAGACAGTAAAAAAAAAATTAAATAAGTGATTGTTTATGCCAATCAATGAATAAATGAAAGCTTATGTCAATCACTGAATGCCTAGCCAATTCAATAACTGAGTAAACCAAAGCTAAGAGAGGGGAGGCCCTTGCCCAGAAAGATGCAGCTGCTTGGCAGGAACAGCAGGTCTCCAGCCAGTTCTCCCTGCACAACAGAACATGAGAACATTCTGTTGGCACCTGGTAACTTCTGGGTTTCCACCAGATGCTAAAGCATGCTCAGCTGGCTGTTTTAGAGTTTGGAGAGCTGGCTGTTGGATACCAAGGGGGACTCGGGAACTGCTGATGAATGCAGAGGCAAGCAGCAAGGCACAGAAGCTACTCACATTGCTGGAAAGTGCTGGGGGTGGAGGGCTGTCGGCAGGAATGGGGATCAGTTCTCCCAGCTGAAAGGAAAAGAGTACATTGAAAATGAAACATCAATTAGAAACTGCCTATCTTTGAACCAGAAAAACAGTATTTAGAGGAGTAGATTATTATTATTAGAGGGTATTTGTTAAAGGCGTTTTAAGAATTACCTGTAATTTTTTCCAACCATCTCGGACACGAATGAAAAACTCGGCACTGTCCCTCAGATAGATGAATGTCCCTTCTATGACCAAATGTGCTTTCTGCAGCATGTCATTCATGTTGCTGAACGCAGTGACCTGTCAGATCATTTTAAATTCCAAACACTGCTGTTATCAGTAGAATGTGGTATTAAATATTAATATGTTATCATTAAACACTGGACAATTTGAGAGACCGCCCCCCCCTTTTTTTGGTACTGGGGATTGAACTCAGGAGTATTTGACCATGGAGCCACATCCCCAGCCCTGTTTTGTATTTTATATAGAGACAGGGTCTCACTGAGTTGCTTGGTGCCTTGCTTTTGCTGAGGCTGGCTTTGAACTCACAATCCTCCTGTCTTAGCCTCCTGAGCCACTGGGATTACAGGTATGCGCCACCATGCCCAGCTAAACTGACCTCTTTATAAAGCCAAACAGGAGACATTCCTTGAATTCAATACAAAGGCGACTGTGCCATATAGAAATCTACAGCTTCACTAATAACTGATAGGCATTCTTTTTGATTAAAAAACATGTATTACTTTGAAACCCAAATTATAATAAATGAAATACGACACAGAAGATAATATTCTATGAGTACAAAGATATAACAGAGTTGTCTCTGTTGTTGGGTTTGGGCATTAGCAAAATTGTCAGTGAGTTTAGCCATTTCCACTTGTTTTCATGCTTCTTGATGGCACTAGCATTAGTAAATGGTGTCCTTCCATGCTACTCCTTAATGAATTTCAAATTTACTTTCCTTTGTAATAAGAAATACAAGCAAGTGCGGGATTACACTTAGGTCTCAGTTTTTTCCCTAGCTTAGTAGTTACAATATCAAATACATGATAGAAAACAGGGCTGGATGGGCTGGAGTTTTAAGTCAGTGACAGAGCACTTGCCTAGCACATTTGAGGCACTGGGTTTGATCCCCAGCACCACATTAAAAAAAAAAAGTTAAAAAAGAAAACAGGGGATGGTGATTTTTCTGTCTCAAAAATTGCCAAAGATTAGACAGCCATTGAGCATATCTTGAAGCAAACTTTGAAGCTGCAAAATAATCTAGCCATTGGAATTTCATTCATCTGAACAGATAACAAATTGTCCTCTATTGTTTGTGGAATTGCACCAATTCTAAGGCCATGGAGTCGTTAATTCCAAAATAAAAGGAATGCCAGGCCCCTGAGCAGTGTAAACCCATCCAAAGTGGAATGATGATGACACACTGATAATGATACAGACCAAGTTTCTGGATCCTGGAAGCCCTGGCTGTCCTGGAGGGCCAGGCGGACCTGGAAGGGCCACAGCTAAAACAAAGCAGAAAAGAGAAGTAATAAAAAACACACTCTCTGAAAAATGGCCCAGGGGTCTGCTCATCACCTGCAGTCAGTGTTCACAGCCCTCTCCAGTGCCACAAGATGCCCCATCTTGCAACTGTGTCCTGGTGCTCTGGACCCTGCATGTAACAGGTTTGATTGGTTTGGGGAAGACCTGAGAGTCTTCCCTGTCACCCTGGTATAAGCCATGCCTAGGACTCTTCAGGTTTATACATCCTTTTGTTGTTACTTGTAAAAGCCAGTTTAAGTTGAATGATTTGTCATTTGCATCCAAAAATATCCTGATTCATACAACGTATTTCACCCAAGAGACATGCACATGACCTTAAATAGAGGAAGTGGGCTCAGAAAGAGGAAGAGAGGGGCTATGCTATGGGAAGAGGCCAGGTACTGCAGTAACAGGAGGCCTTGGGGCCAAGAGACAGAGACCAAGCCCCGGGTTGGGTCGTCATTTCCCAGCTGTGCAGCACTGCACAAACAGCAAGCCACTGCCCCACTCCTCCCCCCCACCCCTCCCGCGCTGCTTCCTCAACTCTGCGACATAAACAGGCATCTCTTCTTCACTGGGTTCTGGCAAGAACAAGAGGCAACACAAGACTAGAAATGTGCTTTGTAGATTATGTAGCATTAGACCGGATTCTTAGCTTTTGAAGAGTCACAGTGCCTTAAAAGTCAGATCAAGGCTACTTCCCTCTTCCTCAAAAAAAAAACAAAAAAACAAAAAACGTGGGTGCACATGTGCATTTTTACTTGCAGCGCGTGCGCACACACACACACACACACACAAATTGTACAAAAAATGTTAGTGGGATGAAAAATTCCTAAGGCACATCCTCCAGCAGTACTTTGAATCAGGTTCCTTGCTTACAACGAAGAGAACCAAGGCTAAAGAGTCCATAATTCTGCAACCAAAAAGCCCTTGTTTTACCCAATATAAAGTTATTTCAGCTATTCCTTTGTTCTTCAACCCCCGTCAGCTCCTCACACCCATTGCCCCAAATTGCAAAACCCTTGGCAGAGTTAAGGATGTTTTTGCAAGTTCAAGTAAAATTATTGTATACAATGTTTCAAGTTATTGCAAGCAAGCCTTGTGTTCCAATATAGAACTTGAACATCCAGACAAGTGTCTAGAGCAGAGGTCAGAAGGGAACTTGGATCTGGATCCCAACCAAGCCTCCTACTAGTACGCATGACCTTGAGCAAGTAAGTTTCTTCTCTGAGCTTCAGTATCTTTATCCATGGAATGAAATTTATAATATCCATCCCATCTTCCTCTAGGGTTTCTGGCAAGATTACATGGGATAATGACTATGCAAGTGTATTCAAAAAAATTTTTTAGATGTTGATGGACCTTTATTTGTTTGTTTGTTTATTTTATTTATTTATATGCACTGCTAAGAATCAAACCCAGTGCCTCACACATGCTAGAAAGGTCCTCTACCTCTGAGCCACAACCTCAGCTCCTGAAAGTGTATTTTAAACTGTGACTTGCCATAAATTAGGAGAGGGGCACTCCTTGTTCAGTGCAGCAAGGTGTCTTGGGGTCCACTGGGGTGATACTCTGTGGACAACAGACTGCATCCCACACTCCTTTGCCTCCACCTCCTGCAGCTCCTGTTCATCCCTCAAGGCTGTGTGAAAACCTCTGGTTTTATCCACACAGTACCTTCTTTGCAGGACCAATGTCCTCGTCACCTTCTCTGGAGGTCCCCCCCCCTTTACCTCCTCCAGAAAAACCTACAGTCTCAGGATTCTACCTCCTGGTCACAGGTGATTGGTTCATGATTGGCTCCTAGCTCAGGACGAGCCAATCAGAATCCTTCCCTGGGACTTGCCCCACCCTGGAACTTTTCAAACTAGAAAAAGACCAAGATTTCTAGCTGACACTGGAAGCTCTTAGTTGTCAGTGACCCTGTTTCCCTCAGCTCAGAGGATGTGGTCTGTGGTGAGGCACGTGAAACTGGCACACAGAGAAGGGCTGAACCAGGGGGGCTAGAGAACTCTTGCAGGGATCCTGGCTCCTCCTTGGTTCTGGCTGTGCTTTGTCTTCCCTACCCAGGAAGCGAGTGCTCATTTTCTCTTTCACAGGGAATACATTTTCATTTTGCTTGAGCAGTACTTTGAGTCAGGTTTCTTGCTTACAACCAAGAGAGCCAAGGCTAAGTCAAAGCCCCAACCTCCAGGTCACCTCCTGTGTAAAGCTCTCCCTATGGTCCAGACTGTGGTCTCTTCCAGATGTGCTCCCACCACACCTGGCTCATGCCAACCCAACCAACAAAAAACTCCTACACTCATGCTAATCATGTTACTGCTGCTACAAGTTGAGCATCTTACCTGAAATGCTTAGAACTAGAAGTGTTTCCGGTTTCAGATTATTTTTTAATTTGGAGTATTTGCATATACATAATGAGATATTTTGAGGAAGGGACCCAAGTCTAAATACAATATCCATTTATTTAGGGGCTGGGGATATAGCTCAGTTGGCAAAGTGCTTGCCTCACATGCACAAGGCCCTGAGTTCAATCCCCAGCACCACCAAAAAAAAAAAAAAAAAATCCATTTATTTTATGTGCATCTTATACATAGAGACTAAAGGTAATTTATATATTTTACATAATTTTTGTACATTAAACAGTTTCATGATGTGGAATTTTCTTTGTGTACCGTCATGTCAGTAGTCACAATTTCAGATTTTGGAACATTTCAGATTTAGGGTTCAGATTAGGAATTCTCAACTCATTATTTTCCACCATGTGCATGGTAGAAATAATGTAGGCTTTGGAGATACTCTAATGTGAGTCCTAATCTTGTTGGTGCCACTTATTGGCTCTATGACCTTGGAAAGTTTTCTTAAGGCCTCTGGGTGTCAGTTTCCTCACCTGTAAAACGGGGATGCTAGTACTTTTCTTAAAGTGTTGTTGTGATACTTCAACAAAACACTGTAGTAAAGTGATTAGCAAAATGCCTGACATTTTTGATGTTTTCTTTAATTTCAGCCACTTTGCCTTTGAGGAACTGAGGCTCCAAGGGATGAATAGATTTTTAACATTGAGGGTTACGATCAACACTGGTCCTTAGCTGGTCAACTCCCTATGGCATTGACAACACAGATGGGAAGGTTCTGCTGTACATGAAAAGATGCTCAACATCATTAGTTATTAGGGAAATGCAGACCACAACCACCATGGATACACCCAACACCCATTAGGATGGCTACAATAAAAAGATATAATAAGTGTTCATGAAGAGGAGGAGAAAATGGAGCCCTCATACACTATTGGTAGGAAGGCAAAAAATTGCGGGTGCTTTGGAAATGGTTTGGCAATCCCTCAAAAAATTAAACACAGGGGTTGGGGTTGTAGCTTAGTGGTACAGCTCTTGCCTAGCATGTGTGAGGCACTGGGTTCCATTCTCAGCACTGCATATAAATAAATAAAAATAAAATTCTATCAACAACTAAATTTTTTTTTTAAATTACACATAGAGTTACCACAAGACCCAGATATTTCATTCCTAGGAATATGCCCAAGATAACTGAATATATGCATAAAACTTTGTCTACAAATGTTCATTGCAGCATTATTCATCATGGCTGCAAAGCAGAAGCAACTCAGATGTCCATGAACAGGTGAATGAATAAACCCAATCAATGTGTATTCTACAGTGGAATATTATTTGGTCAAAAAAAGGAGCCAAGTATTAATACACACTACCACATGGATAAACCTTGAAATCACTATGGTAAAGTAAAAGAAGCCAGACCCAAAAGGCCACAGAGTATATGATTCCATTTACAAATCCAGAGAGAAAGATTAGTGATCGCCAAGATCTGGGAACAGTTGGAGGGAGAGGCAGGTAACTGCTAACGGGTACAAAATTTCTTTTTGTTGTGATGAAATGTTCTAGAATCAGACAGTGGGGGTGGCTGCCCAACCTTGCCACTATATTAAACACCGCTGAATTGTGCACTTTAAATGGGTGAAGTTTTGTTTTGTGAATTATGCTTCAGTTTTTAGAAGAGAAAAGAAAGAAAGCTCCACCCAGGAAACAGCCCTCTGTCAGATGGTGTGGCACTGACATGCTACCCAGAGGGTGACCCTCAGCACGATGGTAGGGGCAGCATGAATGAGGGCACCACTCACAATACGAACCTGCACCCAGGATTGCTGGAGGTCCTGGGGGCCCAGGGGGTCCCGGTGGCCCAGGAGCACCAGGTCTTCCAAAGCCAGGTGGCCCAGGCAGTCCAGGAATTCCTGGGGGTCCTTGGGGCCCGACGACAGTCTCTCCTTTCTGTCCCTGTCAAGGCAGACACACAGTAGTGGAGGAAAGACCATTAACCTCCAGAAGTCCCGGCTACTGCTTTTTTGTAAGAAGTCAGTGAATTCCAGCTGTTCTTGTCCCTGTTCACTATCAGGGAGGGGCACAGTTCCAGACAGTGTAGGCCCCAAGGAGCAGCAGCAGAGTCATTATGTTCAAAGCCATGAGAGGGCCCTGGAATCAGAAGCCCCTCCCCCAGCATCTTGTTGGGCCTTTGCACTTCACAGATGAGGCTTCGAGAGGGGAAAGGACTTGCCCTAAATCACAAGGCAAAGTAGGGGTTCAGCTAGAAGTGGAACCCCAGGCTTCAGCTTTGCTGGTTCTACCATCATAGTGAGTTCTGGGGCCAAAGTCAATACTCTGGTCCCCAAGGTTCATAATCTGGTCATATTCTCGTTGTGGGGAGGGGAGGCAAAATCTAATTATCTCTCTGTAGCCTGGAAAACTCTTATCCTAGGAAGTTCAAGTTTATCTAGAAATTCCATCTTGAGTAGAAATAATATTTACTCCAAAAATATTTTTTCTCCAAAAACATGACCCTCACCACCTTCCATTCTGCTTCCATTAGCTGTCGTATTTACCAATAATGGAATTTTTACCTTGTGCGTGAGTGGGGTAGTGTGGGCGGCGCCTGGAGGGTAACTAACTGCCCAGGGCCTGGGGCACTCCTTCCCTCTGTGGGCCTCAGCCAATCTCCCCTGCAATCAGCAAGAGGCAAGGAGAGTGGGCCCTTTCTCCAGCTTGTAGTCCTGTAATTGACCCTTGACTCTCCAGCTGCCTGGTCACATTGGGGGCCTCGGGAAAGCTCCAAGTCCCTGGGAAGATGGCATGGAGGGCCCACTACTCACAACCAGGCCTGGATTTCCTGGCAGTCCCGGAGGCCCAGGCACAAAGAAGTTGTCATGAGAGTCTCCTTTTTCTCCTTTGAACCCCCTGTCTCCATTCTCCCCCTGGAAGAGAGAACATGGGAATATTTCAGTAGGGCTGGGATGAACGAACTGTCTCTAACATAAACCCAAGAAACTGGAAACACAGGCTCTTATGATTTCCATGTGTTGGAAATTTAATTCCCCAAATCATATATTAATGGCATCTGGAGGTGGGTCATGAAGGCTCTGGATTCATGGACTAATGGATCATCTAGGAGTGCCTTTGTTGTGAAAGTGAGCCTGCTTTGTTTTATTTTATTTTTATATGGTGTCCTAGACCACCTCAGGACTCTGCAGAGTCCTTACCAGCAAGAAGACAGGTGCGGCCTCTTTAACTTCCAACCCTGTATAACATTGAGCTGGGTAAACCTTTATTCTTTGCACATTACCCAATCTGTGGAATTCAGTTATAGCAACAGGAAACAGACTGAGATAACAGGCCAGGTGCTGAGTAGAGAATACTCACCTTCAAGCTATTCAGAAAATGTCTCAGGTACACTGGATCCACTGGAGGACCTGAAGAAGAAACAATCCTCAAAACAAGAGCCTTCCAGATGGTAAACATGGTTACTTCCTAAAGGAAGTGACCCTGCATTGATTTAGTTAATTGGTTTGGTACTGGACTTGGAGGTAGCTATGGCCCCAGTTTGGGCCCAGCCACCCAGACAAATCCTTGGGACTCTCTAGACTTCATTTTGCATATAAAACATGAATAACTGGAATTCTAGTTTTTCTTGACAGTGTTCCATCTTGGATATGCCAGGTCAACGACTGGGTCTTACCAGAATTCAGAGAAGCTTATGGTCAGGGTGGTAATGGCCTTCGCCTTACTCTGTGATGCCACTGCGATTCTCAGGAAGAAAAATCAAAGGCAAGACCAAGAACAACAGTTGCAATACCTGGTGGTCCTTGGGCTCCTTGGTCGCCTTTTTCTCCTTTTGAGCCAGGAAGACCCCAGGATCCTTTCTCTCCTTTAACACCTGCCACCAAACACACGTGCATTTAAGGGGAAAATCACCTTTATTCTACCTAAAGTCTTGCATAGACAAGTTTTCCAACTGAGCCCTTTTAGCAGAGTCTACTCAAACAAACACAGGTTTGCTGAGAAATCGGCAGGCATAAAAACCTTCACTACAGATGGAAAGGGCAGAGGCAGCTGCATCAGACCCAATTCCCAACCTCGAGAAGCCGGCTGGGGAGACGGACCCAGTTCATAGCAACACAGGCAGGATGCAATAACTGCTATTGTGGAGAGGTCAATGGGTACCACAGGAGCCCAGCAAGGGCTGCAAAGAACTCTCCCTTGCACCGTTTCATGAACACAGACTGAGACTCAACATTAATAAACCTTCCAAGCTCATCTCATCTGGGCCTGTGCAGTCTGGAGGTGTGGGGAGCAGAAGAGGACTCCCCCAGGAGGGATAAAGGAAGACCAGAAGGGGGACTAGGATGCTAGTTGGAAGAACGAACACCAGCAGCTGTGCCTGACACACCTGCCAGCCAGAACAGGAAGGGCCGCCTCAGCACCACTGGCCTCACATCCCAGCCTTCTCGTTCAACTCTTGGTAGGGGAGGAGCAGAGAAGGGGGTCTTGGGAAGGGAAGTGATCCCATGGGGGTAAGGACTATGGGCACCAGACGTGGGACAGTGCCTGATGGGGGTCAGCAGGGAGGTGTACCACATCTCCCCAGGTCCTACCAGTGCTGGGGGAGCTACCTGAGACTGAGGGACTGAGCAGTGGGGACACGGGACACCACTGTCCCTGATGAGACAGTAGTCAGAGGTGACACCAGACAGTGTTATGGTTTAGATCCGGAGTATCCTCCAAAAGCACTTGTGTTGAAGGCTTGTTCCCCATGCAACAACGTTCAGAGGAAGGGGTTCTGGGAAGTGATCGCATCATGACCTCATCAGCGAACTGATCCATGGATAGCTGAGTGGACTACTGGGAGGCGGTGGAGACAGCAGGCAGGTGAGGCTGCCATAGCTGAAGGAAGTAGGTCACTGGGGGTATGCCCTTGGTGGTCTATATTTTGTCCCTGGATGCTGCTCCTTCTTCTCCTTCCTCTTCCTCTCCTCTTCTTTCCTCCTCCTCCTCTTCTGTTTCTTCTCTTCCCCTTCCTCTTCCTTGTCTTCTCCTCCTCCTCCTCCTCCTCCTTCTCTTTTCTAGCTATCATAAGCTGAGAAGCTTTCCTTCACCACATCCTTCTGCCATGAAGTTCTGCCTCACCTCAGGCCCAAAGCAACAAAGCTGGCCAACCATGCACTGAAGCCTCAGAAACTGTGAGCCAAAATAAATCTTTCCTCCTCTGAGCTGTTCATGGCAGGTATTTCATCCAGAGATGGAAAACGGACTAACAGACCATGAGCTCACTACGCTGTCAGGGCTGCTTGCCTTGAGGGAGCAGTGACCTCCACCAGGAAGCCCAAGGACAACCACTCACCCACCAGCACCATCACATCCAGAATGTTCTGTCCTCCCTCCTCCCAGGGGAGTCCCCCAGGACAAAGGAACAAGTGGGGGTCTGAGAGGGCAAATCCAGCTCCACCTCCTCCTCCCCAAGGTCCACTGGGCACCAAGGGAAAGGAGAGCCTCATGTAGGATCTGAGCAACAAGGTTGGAAATAGGCTGGACTCAGCAAGCAGAAGTGCAGGAGAACCAGAGGGTCAGACATGGTCAAGGCAGGGTGACCGGAGCAAGACAGAGGCGAGTAGTGGGGGTAGGGAAGGACCTACTGTTGAAGCTACAAGTGTTCAGACTCCTCAACCAAAAGGGGGACGTGGCCATTCAGAGTATGTGGGGTCAAGGGGAACCAGAGTGACCTCCAGGCCCCTGCCTCCTGGTCTGTCTGATGTCCCTGAGAAGCTGCCATGGGTAGCCATGAACATGTGGACATTGACCAATCAAGCCCTCCAGGCCAGCGTTCCTTACCCTTCCCTGCACTTACACCAAGAGGCCTGGTGAAATGCGGGTTCTCATTAGGGAGATGCAGGGTGGGGCCCGAGGGTCTGCATTTCTAAAGAGCTCTTCCTGGGAGACGCAGGTGTTCACGAATGCTCTGAAGCAAAGGTCTCCTGAGCTCTCCCAGTTCTTCCCTCATTAGAGCTTGGTGTATTATGCTATGACTAATTTTTAATAATAGCTCTCAGCTCACACATTCTAAGGGCCTGGGAGGCAGGAAGGGCAGAGAATTCACCTGTCTCAGCCCCGGGCACACGATGACACTAAGCAAGGGGTTGGCATCAGTGAGCATCTGATGAACAGATGAACAAGTGAGTGACCCAGCAGGGTGCTCCTTGCTACCTAAGAGGCTCAGCCACGTGGTGCAAAATAGACAGATGCTTAACAAAACCAAACAGAGGTGACCCCGCGGCCTTGGCTCAGCTGCCACCCAGGCCACCCAGTCACACCTCCACCTCCTCTGAAAGTGCCTAGCACTGGGTACTTGCAAACGAGCCTCTTCAAAGGTGCTGAGTAGAGAAAAAGAAAAGCCCACAGTGAAGAAAGAGTGTGTACCATGGAAGGTGATGAGCTCCGAATCCCCAGGAAGAGTGGTACCAACCTGGAAAGAGAGAAATACAGGATCAGACCCTGGGCGCCCTGCCCTGGCATGTGTACACCCTGGGGAGGGGACACTGTCCTGGGGGCATGTGGCAGAAAAGGTGATGCTATGAGACAGAACTTGCTTTGGCCCTGGCCCACCCCCACCCCCTCCAAAGCCCTGAGCTCCCCAAAAGCCCTCAGCACCCAGAAATCCCAGGTCTTCAAGTGGGAGAATCATCATGCAATTGAGTTGGGTAGAGAGTTGAGACCCACAGGCCAAAAATCTCAGCAAAGGGGAAATCCAAGGTTTTCAGGTGACAAGTCATGGCAATGTTGGTCTGGCCCCGGATGAACCCTCTTGGCCTCCTTTCCTATCAATGAGTATGGACCCCCCCCCCCAAGAGAGATCAAGCATCTAAGCCACCAGTCCTGAAGCTGGCCACTCATCAGAGCTGCTATTGTGCATTGCCAAGGACGAGCATAAGGGACTGGTGCTGGCAGAAACGAGAGTCAGTGATGTAACGGTCATTAGACCAGGGATTATTCTGAATTGTTCTGAGTGTCAGAGCCCTAGGGTGCAAACAGCTCTTTCCCAGAGTCCCACATTCCCTTGTCTGGTAAGAGGGGGCCAGCTGCAGCCTGGCTTTTAGCAGCCCCCCTTCACCTTCTCCCCAGGTGATACATGGAATCAAAATGATCCAGGATTCTTCTGTGCTTATGGGTGGGATCATGAGCTGCTCAGGGGTCACCAAGAGAAGATGGGGGGAAGGAAGAGAGACTCTGCCAGCATTTCTAAGTTAAGGATGAAGACTGCAGCACCCAGGTGATCCTTGCGACGATGCTGCTAAGTTGCCCCACTGCAGGTGTGAGCTGCAAATGGTTATGGTGCTGCAAGGGCTGAAACCAGAAGGGCGTGCAGAACGCTGGGCACGAGAGGAAGCACTTCTGCCTGAAAATGTCCACCCTGAGAGGACGTATCCGTGCCCCAGCCCCCATAGTGTGCAGCCAGCCATCATAAAATAAACAACCCAACAAAAATGCTCTAAGCCAGGGTTTGGCTTAAGTAACTCCATGACCCCCAAAGGCCAAGGTTCCCGCAGAGTCCTAGAGTAGGTTATGGGAATCACAGTAGCATTTTCACAGCACTCTACAGTGTGTCAAGTGCTACTCCATGGCCGGCCCACTTAAAACCTGCAATTGTGTATGTTGGGAGGGGCTTCCGGCACCCACACGCTGAGGGACCTGGGGCTGGCCCACTGCCTCTGAAGGCTGTGATCGCTCCTTCATTGCAAGGAGGTGGTCATGGGGGGGGGGGTCTCAGGAGGGACTCTCTAGCACTGATGCTTCCTGTTTCTCACTAATAGAAACATACACTGGGTTGGGGTTGGCTTCACAAGGATCTGGGAGCCAGCAACTCTCTTTGTCACCTTATACAGTAGGATCTCATCCTCTGCCTTCCAGGCCAGAGCTCCCGGGCTCTGGACTATACACTAGGATGCTTCAAAGTTCAAACACAGACAGAAGTCGGGAAAACACTCAGCTAAACTGCGTCATTTTGAAGTCTCTGAGCCCAGCCTCATCACCACCTCCAATTATGAATCCACTTCAAAGAACATTTTTAAATTGTCATTTGCAAACCTCAGAGAGCAGAGACCACGCCTGTCTTGTTCACCCGCTTCCCCCCGGGGACTAGCAGAGTACTTGGCTCTGGGTACATGCTCAATAAATATTTGTTGAATGAATGAGAGAATCATCATGCATTATACTGTGACTCAGGCCTGCACAGGCCCACCCTCCAGGGCTTCCCCACAGAAACAAGACCTAATCATGTGGATGAAACCCCAGAGTGCTGACTGGCTGGGGGACCCGGCAAGGGCCTGACCCCTTGGAATCACAGTGTCCGCACTGGCTGCCTGGGACGTCAGATGGGAACTGTGGGCCCTGCTCCATCCTGTCCCGAGACCTTGGACAAGCTAGTGAGCTTCTGTGAGTCATTCTGTTTCCTCATTACAGAGTGGAGGGATCAGCCCTGCCTCTCAGGGCTGTGTTCTGTGCTGGGCTGTGACGTGATCCCTGATAGGGATGGAAGGCGGTAGTTACGGATTGTAGCCCCAATTCCCAGTGCAGAAACCACAGGTTGGCTTTAGTTTTTTTTTTTTTCTTTTTTTTTTTTAAATATTGCTCCATGCATGAAGCTAATGTGATCATACTGATAAAAGACACTGTTTTATTGATCATACTAAAGACCATACTCAAGACGACCCTGAAAACTAAAAGCTTATATCCTTGAAGGGTGTATCCATAAGTGATAAAAGACCTCAGAAGATGCTCAGAGGTGGAGGGGCCCAGCACGGAGGCTGACCTTCTCTGAGTTGCTCTCTGTGCAAAGCCCACCCTTGAAGGCAGTGGCCACATGCTACTTACGGGTGTTTTGCAGTGTGGTCGGGCAGGTACCGGGAAAACGGCCTGTGGGAAATAGAAGGAGAGAGGTGAGGCTGTCAGGGAACTGGACTCCAGCTCATGCCAGTCTGGGGCCTGTTGCTTGATCCTCTGGGAAAGTCTCCCCAACACCCCAACTCACCCCTTTGATGTTAACCACAGCTCCGGGTGGTCCAGGGGGGCCTGGAGGACCAGGTAGACCAGGAGGGCCCTGAAGGGAGAAAAGAAAGGCCACTGCTAAGTTGAGGCTGCTAAGAGGGTAGAGGCAGCTGAAAGACACTTCCTCCAGGCTTTGGGCACACAGCAAGGAAAGAAGGGTCCCCTGAAGCCACCAACTTCTACCTTGATAGGTGGACCTATCCACAGAGCACTTCTACATCTGTGACCTCTTTGCATCTTCCCAGCAAACCACCAGGAAGACAACAGTATTGTCCCTGGTTGATCCATGCAGATAAGGAGGCCCAGAGAGGGGAAGCTACCTGCTCAAGACCACACAGCCACTGACAGCAAACCAAGATTAGAACTCAGAGTCTGACTCCCAGAGAGTGTTGAGTTGATAGGAAGCCTACCAGCTCTCTATCAGTGCATCCCTAGCGTGGAAGGGCCTGAAGGAGAGCCTCAGAGGGACGAAATTAAGAACAAAGCTCATGTTGAACAGCACAGTCAATTTCAGCCTGGCCTTAGGATCATGCAAAGTCTTCTCATCCCAGCCCAGAGGAGGACATGCAGCGGGTGGTGGGTGCTGACAGGCAGGTACAAGGAGGGCTCCCCTAAATGGAGCCATGGGTTCACCGGCTCCAGGGGGCTTGATGAGCAGGAGCCAGACCCTTAATACTTTAGGAAAATTGGATTTCTGAACACATAAAGTGAGGCACTGTGGTACACACAGAAGCAAAATGGACACAGAGCTGTGTTTGCTTCTTGGTTTGGTGACCTTCAGTGGCAGCCCTAACTTCTGTAGGTCCCATCCTCCCATGTTCCTGGATGGGCAGAATCAGTATTATCACAGTGGCCTGACTACCAAAAGCTTCATACAGATTCAATTCAATCCCCATCCAATTACTAATTCTTCACAGAACTAGAAAAAGCAACTCTGAAATTCATTTGCAAAACTAAGAGACCTAGACTAGCCAAAGCAATCCTGGGCAAAAAGAGAGATGTTAGAGGTATCACAGTACCTGACCTCAAAAGAGACTAGAGTTAAATAGCGTGGTACTGGTACCAAAACTGATATGAAGACCAACGAGACATAACAGAAGACACAGATCCAAACCCACATGGATACAGGTATCTGATATTAGATAAAGGTGTCAAAAACATTTATTGGAGGAAAAAAATAGCCTTTTAAACAAATGGTGCTGGGAAAACTGAAAATCTATATGTAGAGGAATGAAACTGGCCTCTCTCTCTCTCACACCCTGCACAAAAGTGGATCAAGGACCTAGGAATTAGACCTGAAACTCTGCAACTGCTAGAAGAAAATGTAGGTCCAACACTCCCACATGTTGGAACAGGAACCAAGTTCCTTAACAAGACTCCTAAAGTGCAAGAAACAAAACCAAAAATCACTAAGTAGGAGGGCAAAGAATTTAAAAAATTTCTGTTCAGCAAAGGAAACAGTTAAGAATGTGAAGATAGAGCCGACAGAATGGGAGAAGGTCTTTGCCATGCACACCTCAGATAGAACATTAAGATCAAGAATATATAAAGAACTCAAAAAACTCAACATCAAAACCCCAAATAATTCAATTAATAAACAACAGGCAAAAGAACTAAACAGACAATTCTCAAAAGAAGAAATACAATTGGTCAACAAATATATGAAAAAATGTCCAACATCTCTGCAATCAGGGAAATGCAAATCAAAACTACATTGAGATTTCATCTCACTCCAGTCAGAACAGCAATTATCAAGAATATAATAATGATAAGTATTGTCGAGGATGTGGAGAAACAGATAAGGTACGCTCACACATTGTGGGTGTAGCACTAGTTAGTATGGAAATTTCTTTAAAAACTAGGAATGAATCCACTATATGATCCAGCTCTCCAAGTCCTCAGTATAGATCCCAAAGACCAAAAATTGCCATACTATAGGGATATAGGCATATATCAACCAAGGTGCCCTTCGACGGATGAATGGATTAAGATAATGTGGTATTCATACACAATGGAGTATTACTCAACCATAAAGAAGGATGAAATCATGGTATTTTCTAGAGAGAGAGTGAGAAAGGGAAACCATGGAGGAGTCCATCAAAAAAGAAGGTTGAGGGGCTGGGTAGAGTGCTTGCCTCGCACATGCGAGACCCTGGGTTTGATCCTCAGCACCATATAAAAATAAATAAGTGAAATAAAGGTATTGTGTCCAACTACAACTAAAAAATAAACTAAAAAAAGGAAAGTCAATCAGTTGGCTAGATGAAGGGGCTAGGGGGAGGGAAAAGAGATGGGTTAAGGGAAAAACAGAGGAACAAATGTAACCTAACCTTTTAATGTCCCTATGTGAATAAACCACAGTGAATCTCACCAATATATACATCCACAAGATACTAACCGAAAAGAAAAAAGAAGTAAAAGTCAATGGCAGAAAGACCAGTAGAGGGAAGGGAAGAGGAGGGAGGGGAGGGAGGAGGAGAGGGAAATACTGGGGACTGAACTGGAGCAAATTATATTCCATGCTTTTTAAAAATTGTGTCAAAATGAATCCTATTGTTATATATAACCAAAAAGAAACAATAAAAAAAAAGGAAAGGGGAAAAGAGAATATTCAAAATCTTCTTTTGTGACATAGTATTAAAACACATTTTTTGGGAAAAAAATATTCCCCTATGTAAAACAAGGACCCCACAGAGTGTCTGATGGGCGGGTTAGTTATCACCAAGATGAAGTGGGCTACTGCCCTTACACTTTGCACAGTGTCTGGTACACAGTAGGTGCTCAGTACACACTGGTTTTCTTCTCCGAGAGCCTGGACCCTGCTGCTTCCCCCAGCATGCCCCATCGTGGGAGGTCCTAGGTGGCGGGTCTGCCTTGGATAATCACTCATAAGCACCCACTGAGCCCTAGTGATATGAGCACCCTGGGACTGTGTTCAGGAGGGAGGAGAGGACACCACCCTGGAGCCAAAGCCCTGGAATTTGGAATCACATTTCCTGAACACACCCAGACCCCTTCTCCCTGCCCTCCCTTTGGGGTCTGCACAAGGAGGCTGGTGGCCCACTGAGATGCCCTAGGTGGCAGGGATCTCCTGAGAGTGAGCCAGAGGGTAGGGCTGGGTGGGGGGACCTTTGTAAATGGCAGTGGAGACAGAAGAAACACATTTCTGAAACGTCACCTGACCTGTCGGTCCCACTCATGGGACACCAGCTCCCAATTCTGTCCCCAGGGTGACCCAGGAGGGGTCAGTGGCTGTGGCACTCACCGGCATCATGATCCCTCGATCTCCCTTGGCTCCCTTGAGGCCGTTCAGTCCTGGGCGACCCTGAGACCCACAGGAGACACTTTAGTAAGCCCCTGGCCCCCGGGCCAGCCTGGCCACGCACCCCCTTCCATCCAGTCTGAGGAGCACCCGTACCTACCGGTCGCCCTGGAAGGCCAAATTCTCCTTTGTGTCCTGGTGGTCCTTTGGGCCCCTAGAGGCAAAACAAACCCCCGATTAGAAACTCAAGGTGCGGAGACTATGGGGATGGGAGGTGTGAAGCCTGACTTTGTGGGCAGTGATCCGGAGGGCCCATGGAGGGGAGGAAGGAGGGCAGGGAGCGGTTTCAAAGCCCCCACCTGCCCAGTTCCTGTCTCCTGCCTCTCCCCGGCTGGGGGCACTTGCTCAGCCCCCACCACATTCCACTTGCCTGCAGGCTCCGCCCCAGCCCAGATGCTGGGCCCAGCTCCTCACAGTCAGGGCTAACTGCACAGCAAGAGGTCAGTCGCTCAGGGCTCAGTGCTCACAACTCGGACCCCTGCCCTAGGTTGTGTGTCCCAGGGGTCCCCACAGGCCCCACTAGGAATAACACGGCCTGCACCCCACCAGAAGGCCTGCTTGGTGGCACTTGGCTTCTGCCTTCCTCCTACCTGTCCCGAAGACCAGTCTTGGCCAGGCACCCTCTCCTTTGCTCAGTCCCTGACCCAAGGACCCTGTTTCAGCGCTGGCTTTCTCAGTCCATTTCTTGAGCTACTGCCCTGCTCCCTGCAGGAATCTCCATGTCTTCTGGCACCTGGGGTGCAGGCTGCTCAGCCCAGGAGACCATCACTCATGCATCTCTTCCTAGAACCTGCTTCATCCCCACTCCTGTGGCTGGGTCTGCTCTTTGTCCCAGGGGAAGGCAGGTTTAAACCGGCAGCCCTGCAAGTCCCTTCTTTCTGCCACCATTAACCTGGCCAGCCCTTCCCCCAAAGACAGCAAATAAAGACTGTGTTGAAACAGGGTATACATAAAGTCCCTGGTCCACAGTGCTCTCAGGGAAGGAAAAGAGGAGAGAAAGAGTTAACAGCACCAGTCACTTGGTTGGTAGGTGGTAGGGTAACACCTCCCAAATATCCACACGCACAGGAACCACCTGGGTCTTATTAAAATGCAAATCCAGCATGTCTGGGCGGGGCCAAGGTTCCAAATGTCTAACAAGCTCCCAGGGGACGCTGGTGATGTGGCACTCGGACCACACTTTGAGAAACAAGACCCTAGTGAATTTGCAAAGGAGATGGAAGTTATACTCGTCACTAGGACCACAGCTAGCCCAGATGGCATCTTGATGCAAATTAAAAGGTGCCCTCACTGACTGTGTTTGGCAAGCTGTGAGCAAGCTGGCCTTCAGTGGGACAATCGCCACGCCATCTGCAGCCACCTGCTGGCTCCCATTGCCGTTTGTATTTCCCAGGGTACTGGAGGCTACAGAGTGGTTAACCAGTACTGAAGGAGACTCTCTCAGTCTGCCTTGGCTCTCAGCTACCCTACTCCACAGTGTGGTCTCCTTGACCTCAGGGAACAAAGGCCTCAGAAGGTCTTTATTTTTTTTTTTTTATTTGTTCTTACTAGTTATACGAGACAGTAGAATGTGTTTTGACATATTATACATACATGGAGTATAACGTCCCATTCTTCTGGTTGTACATGTCGAGTTATATTGATCATATATGCGTATAGGATAGTTATGTCTGGTTCATTCTACTATCTTTCCTATTCTCATTCCCTCTCCCTTCCCTTCAGTCCTCTTTGTCTAATCCAAAGTACTTCTATTCTTTCCTACCTCACCCCCTAATTATGAGTTAGCATTCACGTATCAGAGAGAACATTCGGCCTTTGGTTTTTTAGGATTGGCTTTTGTCACTTAGGATGACAGTCCTCAGTTCCATCCATTTACTGGCAAATGCTATAATTTCATTCTTCTTTATGACTGAGTAACATTCTATTGTGTATCTTCAGCAGTTAGAAAAATGCAAATTAAAACTACACTGAGATTTCCTCTTACTCCAGTCAGAACGGCAATTATCAAGAATACAAGTAACAATGAATGTTGATGAGGATATGGGAAAAAACATAACACTTATACATTGCTGGTGGGACTGCAAATTGGTACAACCATTATGGAAAGCAGTATGGAGATTCTTCAGAAAACTTGGAATGGAACCACCATTCGACCCAGTTATCCCACTCCTCAGTTTATACCCAAAGGACTTAAAATCAGCATATTACAGTGACAAAGCCACATCAATGTTTATAGAAGATCAACTCATAACAACCAAGCTATGGAACCAACCGAGGTGCCCTTCAACAGATGAATGGATAAAGAAAATGTGGCACATATTCACAATGGAATATTACTCAGAAGGCCTTTTGAGGGATGCACCTTGGAGATTATATGCGTTATTCACCAGGGACAGGTGACTGTTATACAAACACGTGATCCTGTGTCCCCAGGGCTGAGATCCAGCTTGAACCAAACAACCCCATGTACGATGCTGCTTGCTGCCCACAATGTTCTGCAAGAATCCAGGGCAGCTTGCTCCTTGGAAATAGTGGGGTGCAGTGGAAGGATTCTGGATGTAGGGTCTGAGAGGCTGGCCTCAAGTTCCCCGCCTGCCACTTAAAAGCAATGTGACAGTAAGCAGGTTACTTAGCCTCTTGGAGCTTTGGTTTCCTTGTCCATAAAACAGGGATCCTGCTATTCACATCTTAGGGTTATGAGTGTGAAATGAGACGAGCCGTGTGAGAGACCAATACAGTGTCTGACCCACACAGATGTTCTCCACCTGAATTTTCTCCATTTTGAGGGAAGAAATGTATGACAGAGAAGTTTAGGGCTCATCCTTGAGAGAAATAATAGGAAAACTGTCCAGCTGTGTTGGATCCCTAGAACAGCCAGTCCAGAAGCACCTAAAATACCATCTAGTCTTAATCCCACCCCTCCTCCAACAGATGGGCAAACAAGCCCAGAGAAGAGGGCAAGCAGCAGATAGAATCCAAAAAGCTCAGAGAGATTTTGTGGGTGTTATGGTTTGGATGTGAGGTGTCCCCCAAAAGCTCACGTGTGAGACAATAAAAGAAGGTTTGGAGGAGAAATTATTGAGTTGTAGACTTAATATAATCAGTGATCTGACCTTAAATGGGACTAACTGGTAACTGGAGGCGGATGGGTGTGGCTGGAGGAAGTGGCTCATTGGGGGCGTGGCTACCAGTTATACATTTGTATCTGGCAAGTGGAGACCTCTTTCGGTTTCCTGATCATCATGTGAGCTGCTTCCCTCCACCCCATTCTTCTGCCATGACATTCTGCCTCACCTGGAGCCCCAAGGAATGGAGCCAGCCTTCTACAAAATAAGACCTCTGAAACTGTGAGCCCTCCAATAAACTTTTTCTCCTCTACAATTTTTCTGGTTGGGTCTTTTAGTCACAGCAGCAAAAAAAAATAAAAAATAAATAAAAATAAAAATAAAAAAAAATAAACAAAAAAAAAAAAACCCTGACTAAAACAGCAGGGCTTCCTGTCAAATGGCAATCTTAGATTAACAACTGTGGTATGACCTTGAGGGCTCACCACCATCTGCTTTTCCCTCTTTCCTGGACACACAGCTATGGCTACATGTCTGAGGCCCCAGGGATCTAAGTTCTGGCCAAAGAGAGTGTACTCAAAGTGATGTTCGTTATTTCCAGTCTTCCCTGACCCCAAACTCAGCCTGCCAGGTGGAAGATATTGGTGTGACTTGGAATCCAAAAGATGGCAGAGTCACAGTACGGACTCTCCTGGGTCCCTGAGTCACTGCCTGGAGAAGAGAGGCCCAAGAGGGAATAACCACAGGGCACTTGGGAAGAGGGATTGGCTGCTACTGTGCTGGGCCCTGAGAAGCTTACGCAACTGCAGCTTGCCTTTCTAACATGTGGATGCTTTGCCACATCTTTTGTGTTTTCACGACTGGGACGACTGCATCTAAGTAAGGAAAGTATTATAACTTTATCATACCCCAGTCCAGGCTCAGCTGAGAGACACTGTGGCTTACCATGGGTCCTGGGGTCCCGTGCATTCCAGGTTCACCCTAAAATGGGGAGATACATACTTGTCAGTCTGAGGAACACTGTTAGAGGCACCAATATGCAAAGTCAAAGTAGATGTGTGGTGGCTTCAGCACCTGGTGACACAATTACCTTTTTCCCCTTCAGCCTTTCCAGAGGAATATCCCCCGTCAGGATGGCGCCAGGCTCTCCCTTCTCACCCTGCAATGCAGAGAGCCTTTCAGTGAAGTCACACCTGCTCCTGCTATCGTGCCCAGTGGATCACGAAGACCTCTCAGGCCTGCTGCCATGATTAATCACCTCTGTCCTGCCTTCACAACACCCTTCCAGCCCCACTGCACCCCAAAATTACTAGAGGATTGCGACAGCCTCCTATGTGACCACAATCCCTCCACTGACCATCAGAGCTACAGTGTCATAGCACAGGCCATAGCCTCCCATGGCCCTCCGGGACTCCCACTATGATCGATCTGCACCCTCACTATCAATCATCCAGGAACCAGCCCTAGCATGGTCCTTCCACCTCTTGCTACATGATACCCCTCCAGGAACTTCTGGCTCCTGATATATCTGGTGGCTTGACTTCCTAACAACTTGACTTAAGATCTGTTCCTATCTAGTGTCCTCATTCTTGTTAAAGCTTCTGAAATTGAGAAAGAGATGAAGGTAAAGACACCAGATGCCTCTCTCAACACAGGGGCCCTGTGTTTCCATGGCCAGCTTTGCCTCCAAATTCCAGGCTGCTGTGCGAAAAATTACTTGGTCAGGCAAAGCTATCCCAGATGTTAGTTAGAGAAGGAGAGATGGGAGACAGGCAAGGATGAAGGATCCCACCCTCAATCCTGTCCTCGGCAGAGCCACCCACTATCCCCAGAGGGTCCTGAGAAGACAAAAGTCCAGAGAGCAAGGCCAAGTAGAGAAACCTTCTGTCTCCCTGGGAGTTCTGATGCTGGCCGCTGGGGAGCTGGGCTGGGCCACACCAGCTCAAAGCAGCCAGGCAGTGGTACTAAAGCGAGCAGAGCAGCCTCTTCCTCCATCCCCCAAAGCCCATGCATGATACTTGGGTCTTACCACTCCGCTGGTGAGGAAAGGCAGTCCTGAGTCCGCCAGCAGCGAGAAGAAGCAGGCACAAAAGCATTAGAGGCAAAGTGAGAGGAAGCACATGGGCTGCAATGGCTGGAGCAGGGCCACCTGGGGCATCTGTTCCCGTCATTCATAGCAGCAGAGGGTTAAGTGCCGCCAGGTCCATCTGACCTTGTCACATCAGGAACAGCATTGGAAGCAAGAAGGGCTCTTCTCCAAGCCAGAGCTGCCCCGCACTGTTCTCCCTGCAGGCGCTTGGCAGCAAAAGCACCCAAGATATTGACCCCATGTGGCTCCAAAGGTCTCCCAAGCATGTCAACCCTCCACCCATGTGGCCCAACAGACACCAGAGCCTCTCCCTTCCTCTGTGGAGGCCTGTGTGGCAATAAGGAGACAGGGAAGGAGATGGAGGAGGGAAAGAGATTGTCATGCTCTCTCCTCTTGGAAAGCACACTGCTGGCTCCCCATGGCAGGCTTAGGGGACGCGCTCAAGCTCTCTGGCACACGCCCTCTGCCACCTCTCCTGTCTGTTCCCCACCCCTGCTGATCAGTATAGGAACCTGCTGGCACACCGTTGTGGGTAGTAGATGAAAGAGGAATGAATATACAAATGAGTGGGCGGGTGAGAGAATTCAATCTAGATTTTTTGTGATCTGTTTATGGCTGTCACTCTTTCCCTCATCTATAAAAATCACCCGGGAAGTTAATTCTAAGAGGCAAATGTAGAAGGTACAAAGACTGGTTCTGTCCCCGGGGAGCGCTCAGGAAGTGCTCTGCATGCTAAATATTTATTCCAAAGATTGTGGACCAGGACTGTCATCCAGCTGCAGAAGGCCCCAGCTTGTAATTCTAAATATTGGCATTCGTTTTATTCATGAGCTAGGCACGCTTTGATCCAAATGACATTCACAAATGTGAATGTCACTTGTGTAGCAGGTCTAACCTGGTTCTAGAGCTGGAGAAAAACCTGTCCCTGGGGAGTATGCATATTCTAAGGAGGACACCCAGTAGGTGACAGACCACCCACTGCATCCAAGGGGGTGCTGAGTGGCATTCTTTTTCCAAATTATGGTGAAATTCAATTTCATGCCCCCATGGATAACCTGTGCCATGGAGGAACCCTGAGATAATAAATGTTAGGAGCTGAAGAGTGACTGCTAATAGACACAGGGTTTCTTTTGGACATGAAGAAAACGTTCTAGAATTAGATAGCACTGGTAGTTACACAATGTTGCAAATCTACTAATAACCACTGAATATAATTTAAAGAAATTATTATGGTATATGAATTGTATCTCAGAGAAGAGGAGAGCTAACATTCATGTCCAGGGCACTGGAAATGGTCAGCAAATTCCACAGCACGATCTCACCCAGACACCTGGTCCCCCTCACCTGTTCTCCTTTGAGTCCTGGAAATCCAGGCACACCAGTGTCACCCTTTGGTCCTCTAGGGCCCTGGAGGGAATTATTGGAAGGTATTGTGTTGTCTGTTAAAATGCTTTAACCAATCAGAAAAACTCCCCCACCACCACCAATGTAGAAAAATAGAGCATGCCATTCCCCAGGAAGGTAGAAGTCATGATTAGCTGCGAGATTTTCGGAGATTTTTTAAGAGGTCCAGAAATTGTGGTCTAAAAGAAAGTGACCCTGAGTGGCAGGAGGCCCAGAGGTTCCGGGCTTCTCTAAATGTTGGTTTCTCCCAGCAAGGAAGCTGCTTCAACTTAACCCCTGCCCCCCTGGGCCATCCTGCTGCCCACTCACTCCAACACTCACCCTCTATGACTCTCATCCTTTTGCTCCCCACTACCTGTGAGATGGGGCCAGCACCCTAGCCTGACTCCCAAGCCCGTCCAGCCAGGCCTGCACCTTACCTTCCACACCACCAGGGCAGCTCCTTCCCTTGACCTCCCTGCACCCCCCACCCCACTGCTTCTGTACCCATGCTCATGCCACCCCTGCAGGGATGGCATCACCCCTCTGCAGAACCAAATTCCACATGCCCCACCCAGAGGTGACCTCTTCTCAAGTCCTCAGATACTGGATGTCTGTCATGGTGACTCACAACATCCTCTCCAAAATGCATTTCAACACTTGACTGTTAAACTTTTCACAAGTCCAATATATAAATATGTCCAGTGGAGCTTCCCTTGGCAGCCTGGATCCTGCCTATCTGGTCCCCTCCTTGTGCCCTACAGTGGTAAACAGGCTCTTTTGAGGAGCCTGGGACTCCCTCAGAACACACAGCCACTCTTGAGAGGAGGGTGTGTTCTGGAACAATCTTTGGCTTTGGGAGCAGTCAAGCTGGGGTGGAGCTGAGGTCTGGACTCTTCTGCTAACCGAGGTGTTATGCCGTGGTCGGCACTCCCGACTGTTTTCTCAAGTCTAGTTAACACGTATTGCTAGTGTCACTGTAGTTTATGCTCCGTTAGAAAATGTAAAACTGTTCCCCAAAGTAAAACAGAGATGACCTATAATTCTACTGGGAAGAACAAATTTCTATTACATTTTGATAAATTTCTTTCTTTGGTCCTAGAAGTGGTGTGTGTCACCTATTGGCATTAGGACTTAAGGTGCAGGGTCTTAAAATAAATTGTTCATATCCTGCCCTGGGGCCAGGCTTCAGCACACATTTAAACTTTTAGACACAAATAATCACTTTTGATGTAGAAATGGATCTTCCTCTTCCATGGTATAAGCCCCATAATGGCACATATGGACTGTTAACTGTTAGGATCCTATCCCAAGGTTCTCCTTCCCCCACTTTCTACCACTACATCCTGTCCCTTCAGGGACTTCATCTACTTGAACTTTTTCTACCTAAAGCATCTACTGTCATGCATGGTGAGCTAGGCTTTGGTTGGTCCTGGGGTAAGAAGACGTGAATAGGACCTAACCCTCCCCAAGGTTTTTGCAAAACAGCCAAGAACAAACAAGACAGACAAAGGGACAAATAACCATTATTTAAGGCAGAAAAGAATCACAAGAGTGGTGACAATAAAGCCCCATGAGACTCAAAGAAGGGGACCCTTCGAGGTGAGAACAAGGACACAAAAATTAATGAAAGAGATGGTGCTGGAGCATGGTCATGTAGAGATGGAGCAAAAATGTCATTCCAGGTGGAAGAAACAGAATGAGCACAGCCCTGAGCACAGATGGAACTTACTGGAAATCCGGGCAGCCCAGGCAAACCATCCGGTCCCTGTGAAACACCAAAGACAAAGCATTTCCCAAACCAGCAGGAATATGCGGCCCCAGCACCTTCCCAGGGCCTAAGCTGTCCCCCAGGGAGGGCTTGGTGGTCTTGCTGCCCCATTTTGCAGAAGATGCTGAGCCTGGGAGGGAAGAAACCCTGCTGCCACACAGCTAGTTGGCACTAGAGGCAGAAGCTACACTTGGGCACCCAGAGACCCACTCTGCAGCTTCCTCCTTGGTGAGGTCCCTCAGCACTTGAAATCCTTAGGGGTGATGAAGATGGCATGAGGACCTCACGAGTAAACTCTGAGGAGTGGGTCAGGAGGCAGCCCAGGGGACTGGGAGGATGTGGGTTCATGATGGTGGGGTTTGCTCTTTTCCCTTGGCAGGAGTGAGAATTATAACTAGCCAATTAAAGGACCTGAGACAAAAAAAGTTGGTACTGTCCTATGGTGGGGGCCAGGGCCCCTCTTCCTTTTCCTGCCAACCTCATATATATATATATGGATGCAGTGCAGAAGATTCAGACAACCCACAGACCGACATCACTCCACAGGAGAAGCCGGTGGCCGACAACCTCTCAGATAACTGCAAAAATCTTTGCGCAACTAGTGGATTTTACACTTCCACAGAAGCACACAAGATGACTTATTTTCTCCAGGGCATGGATGGACAGGCCAACTCCCCTGGGATCTGCAGTGACAGCCCAAGCAGCCCTGGGCCCTGTACAGCTGCAGAGGTATAAGCCTTGGTTTCCATGGTGACTCACAGTGCCAAAGGGCACAAATCAGCTTCACATCCCTCACCTCCTATAAGCCATCCCCAAATGGCAAGGTGCTATCAGAGAAGAGGATCTGGGGCTCAGAGTGGGGTGTGGTGGAGCTAGGGCTGGAATCCCAAGGCTCCTAAGCAAGAGCTTTCCTCCTTCCCAGCTGCCAGCAGATGCAATGGGGATTTATTGTACAGGTGGGAAGAGGGAGCTTTCTTCTTCTTACGTCCTGCTGTGCCACGGGCCAACCCTGCGGACTTGCAGAAGTAGAGTCACTTCCTTGTGTGTCAATTTCCTCATCTCTAAAAGGGGACTAGAAAGACTGAAGCAAGTCATATTCCCTCCTCGTGCTCCAGGTTCCCATTAACACAGCTATGCGTCCCTCTAGGCTCTTCCTGGAAATTGGACGCTGCAGATAACAGCACGCCCAGAACATGGCACAGGTAGCAATCTGTCTGTTACTAGGATCCCTTGATTTCTATGACACATATTTCCGATGCCTAGGACTAGAAACTTCTGCTGCAGTGGACACAACTCTCTGCATGATCAAATTAATATGAAAGCAACTTCTCCAACAGGCTCCTCCATTCTCTCCATTCTACCCTGATATACTCTAGCTTGACGTTTCAGGATCGGAAAGGATCCCAAATCAACACAACATTGTTTCAACAGGGTACTTGGGTAGGGACTTCACCCTAGGGCAGCTGCGGATACAAACCGGAGGCCCCATGAGCTCAGGAATGTCCGATAAATTCATGGATCCATGGGTGATATTGATCAAAGACTGAAACGAGAGAAATCATAGCATGAGGACAAAAGATGGCATGTGTTCTGTCTTGCTTCTGACTGTGAGGCTTTCACTGAAGTCACCCAGCAAGGCACATATTGATCACAGCCCAAGGCCCCTGCCAATCACACCCATCCCTCCTGCTTCCTACCACACCGCCCTGAGCCGTCTTGTCACTTTTCTTTTTTAATTAACTTTAAAATGGCACAACACGTGAATGCCTCCTCTCTTTTAAAAATTTTAAATATGTACATAGATATGTAAATGTTAATACTTATGTCTATATCCCCATAGGAAGCATTTAATGTTGGGGGGGGTGGGCGTGTGCATGTTTGCTCATGTGGTTATTTTACATAAAAGGCAGCAGGCTTTATTCCTGAATTTGCTTTTTCCACTCAACCATATTGTGCAGAGATCTTTCCATGTGGAAATTCTGTAGTATGCCTATTTTTAGTTTCGACAGATTGCCAAAGAACCGTTCAAAGAGGCCGTACAATTTACACTTCCACAGAAGCACACAAGATGACTTATTTTCCCACATCCTTACCCACACCCGATTTTTTTAGTCATATATATATATATGGAT